TAATCTAAACTTACTCATAAGTGAGAGCAAATGTCACATGGGGTTGTCCTGTTACACCCTCATCAGCTTGTTGTTCCTTCCATTGGGGTATCCCCTGCCTTGTACCAGAACAAAGACTCATGAGGCCACAGAAAGGGTGAGATCTGAGGGAACTGATCAATACAGTGGGGTTGGTAATTAGCATTTGTGCAGCACTACGTAAAGCAAAATTTAAAAGTCAGTTTCGCATTTCATAAACGGGCTGATATGTACCTAAATCTGCTGCTGTATGACTCACATGAAAGCAGCAGCATGTGATTCCAAGTGTCAGTTATTCTCCAAAGTCTTTCTCACACGTCCTCTTCGCATGTTTTATTGCTGCCCTGCTCTGACCTATATTTAGCTAATTCTTACATTTCCTAATTTTGACCTGGATACAACTGTATATACACAATTAACCCATAGTTACTCATATCTCCAAAATGAATCTTTTAGAATGGAAGAGAAAAACGGAAACACCTTCTGCCCACATTACCCTGGAGACTAAGCGAGCCGAGTTCAATGAACGAGAGCGCGCTAGTTCAATGAATGAGTGCAGAAATGTGTTCTCAGTGCAGAGATTCAATATTTGGCTGGTAACTGCTGCTGCACAGGTTGGTGATTTGAATGTCAGGCAGCGCAGCTGGTGGTTGGGATGGAAGGTAACTCCGCTAGCATGAGCTCTAGCTTCACACTCAATTCAGGTGTGGATGCTGAACACACGCAGAAGAAAGGAGGGACAGAGAGCTGATAAGGTCCCACCTAACAAGCAGTGACTGAATAAGTATAGTGAAGGCATCCAGCTTGCATTTATAAAGTATTACCATCATTTTCTTCCAGTACTAAACCTTGACAAGGTCTATTTGACCAGGACTCCATAGCAAGATTGACTAAGGCTGAAATTCTGATCTTCACATACAGAGCACAGAAGACAAGTTGCTGAACGTTGTCCTGTCAAATAAGGGCACTCACAGGTAGCTCAGCACTAATTTTAATCTATTTGATTGAATGTCTACCCCTTTACTCCTCTACAATAAGAAACCTGTGCAGTGAAGAACACAGTATCTCAGGGTTGAAGAACACAATATCTCAGGGTTGAGCAGCAATACACTTCAGTACACTCGGAAAATTTCTGTATTTCTAATTACTTAATGATCTGTAGTTAAACAGTAAGAAGAATTGGAGCTTCAGTGCCTGTAATCTCTATGTAAAAACCCACATCTTGGATGGAGGGAGGTTCTTTAAATCATCCTTGGTTTGACTTCAGATAGTCTTTTTTTATTTGCTTAAAATTTAAATGAAGAAATGCAATATAGCACTTTGATTTAAATATCTGCCTGCATTTCTTTTGTAATCAAACTACATTCCTTTTTCAGCCATTCTAGGAGCTAAGTGGATTATGGATTTAAATACAGTTACTATACCTTTTTAACTGGAAATGCAAGTTTGAATTCTCCATTACAAATGTTAAAGATAAATCAGCACTAAAAATACATAAAGTCACATTTTGCACTTTTTGGTACAAAAATAGTTGATAATACACAATATAAGAACTGCACGTCATTAATTATATACATGTCAGTGACAACAAACATCAGTAGGTCAAAACATCAAAGACAAGTAAGAATTCAGACTTTACATGAAAAGGAGGAGGAAAAAGTGTAACCATACAGTCCATACAAAAAAATACATGGGAGAGGAAGAACTGAAAGAGGATTGCATCTGATTCCCTTGCAAAAGCTATCCAAGCAGGAGGGAAAAGGTGATCCAGTTAATTCCTTCTTTGTGCAAAGATGATGAATAAAGGACTTTTCCTGTATTAGTCAAGTTAGGTCAAAATTGTATCAAGCATCACGTCCAAAGAATCAGACCATTTTTAAACTACAACTCAGAGAAGCAATAATCAGACACTTTAAACCATATTCTTTAAACAAAGAATTTTATTTCCCCCTCAAAAAAATAAAGTTCTTTTTATTTGTTAATTACATTCCTCTACACAAAGTAACCTTTGTGTCTTCCTATTAGGTTCATACCTATCTTCAAGCACCAGTGAACCCAGCCATTCACTGGGAACAAAAGCACCTACAGTTCCAGCTTTCATTGGTGGTTTCTTTTTTCACTGGACGTAAGCCAGACTCAAACTGTTTGAGGGGGGAAGTAGCAGACACACATAAGCCACTATTTATTTCCAGTCCTCATACAAGACACCTGATACAAGCCAAGATGAAGAGAAATCCAAGGATTCAGTGTATAAGCATGGGAACTCAGAAGAGCAAAAGTTGGAGGGATAGCAGAAAAGGAAGGGGGAGGGTGGAAACACGTGAATTTGGTTTCCAGCTAAAAGGTTCCTCTCATTTTTTCCCAGGTGAATGTGCTGTTGTTGCTACACAGAGACCTGGGCAGCTCAGGTGTTTTGTGCTTAAACCACACTGATTTTTAAGTAAGCAGTTCCAGAAAAAGGACCTTCCATCAGGAGAATTGATCACTGCTGGTGAGCAAATATTTCTCATTCTTACCTTTCCTTTAATACAGCAATGAGGTTTGGTTGACAAATGTATTACAAGCCTAGTTATATGCAAAAGGCATATGATAGATGCTTAGAGATTAGCTAGCAAAACATTTGTTCTGACAGAGAGATGAAGACAATTTATATGGTGTTGGCTGTCATTTTTCCTCTTAATCAATTAACTAACATTGGATCATATAACATCAAAAATTCAGAATATTGAATTTAAACTGCCTCCAGCTACAGCTCCATAAATTACCCTTCCAAAACCCTATTGGTGTTCAATAGGATGATAATCAATTATTTAAGCTGCAGATAATTAATCCTGTGACTTGAAGAGATTTACACTTTTATTTTTTCATTAATACATCATGAAAGAAAGAACTGATTCACGCATTCCATACTTGCTTTACAGATACATTATCTGGTGTGATTTCAAAGCCATAACTATGTTTAAATAGCATTTTAACATGTTAATATAAATGCTAGATTTTATTGTTAACATCTAATAGGTAAACTGATACTAAAGATAGTTACTAACTTCTACATAGAGTTGCTACAAATACTCATTTGTCAAGAGTATAGTAGTAGGGTGTAATGATCTGCTTTTGCTGACTGAAATTAGTGGTCTTCACAAACATGGGGAAAATTTGAATGGAATTTTTACTACCAAAAAATCCCCATCCCCCAGACTTAACTAAAAGTTATAGTCTCTCCTCAGGAAACACTGGGAAACTTCACATTTTCTTATTAAACATCCATAATCTCCAATCATCAAATTAATGTGCATAATTAATATGTGCATAATTAATAATCTCCAAAGGAGACTCCCTTCTAAAACTCAATCAGCAATAGCTAAGATGAACAAACCTAAGGAGGAAAGTATGTGAAACAAAGAACAACTCTAGAGCTGTGATGCTGTTGTGGACAAGACTGAGGAGAAGAATATTATAATGGATGTATTAATTATTTTAGCAACCTTCAGAAATATAGAATTTTTATTATAAGATGATACTTCATTTTTTCTAAAATTTTGCACATTTTTATGTGCAAATTTTTCTCCAGTCACTTGAAAAGAATAGTTTTCTTGTATTGAGATTGCCAGCTACTGGCAATGGTATTCGAATTTGTTCACCAGAAATTGATCTGTTAACAGTAATGTTAGTAATGTTGAGGAATTCATTAAAGGAAGGATAAAAGCTGCTGCAGTTTTCATGCCTCTCTGTCCTAAGAAGTACGAAGCATCTTCTTTTGCCAGTGTTCAGGGCTGTAATTCCATATTGGATATCACTTTTAAATTCAAGTTTGAAATTTTCTTTATCAATACAGGCACAAGTGCTCTGGGGGATTTTTTTTTTTATTGTATTTAAGTAAAAACACTTTCCCAACAAGTCATCCTAGTAACTCCTAAAGCTCAACATCTGAAAAGTGGAATCTCCAATGAGAACTGATAAGCAGACTGGGCGGTATCCTGGGTTACATGCATTATATTTTTTAACTTAGTTCAAATCATCACGTATCCACCTGAATATTCGAGCTTTAATGCCTAAAGATGATTGTACTGGGAAGAAAGAAGACTTATAAATTAAAAAAATTTGGCTTCATAATGCCTTTCCTCAACCATCGCTTTTTTTCTCTGACTTTTATCAAGACCAGAAGTTGCTGAATTTCTTATGATGATCTTTGTCAGGAAGAGAAGAAAACATCTTCAGGATACTGAAATAGCCAGGAGCACAGATGGATTCTCTTATTAAGCAGGACTTGAGTTGAAAATCAGTTTAAAAATGCCATAAAGAATGGGGACATTTTTTGAGTTTTCGTTGTGAGAAACAGCTGGAAATTTCTTTGACATTTATCTCACAGTCTTTAACATCCTGGTTCACAGAATGCAGGCTAAAAAAATGATGGCAATTTCAACATTCTGGAGGGATTTTCCAATTTAAAATGTATTATACCTGGAGGCAAATACTTGTCAATTTTCCTATTTTATTAAGGAGGATATCATGAGACATCTTTTGACCAAAAAACCTACTATCCATTAAAAAGATCCCATGCTGTTTCATTTCACTGAAATTAAAAAAACTAACAGAATGAACAACTGGTAGCACTGTCTTGAAATTTTCATGATCCAGTATTACAATGTTGTACTAATTCATAAGAAACAAATCCTGAATGGCCAGAAATGAATTGAAATGTACTTTGTTCCCCTTATCACACTGCCATAAGAACTGTTCCCTGCAGCCTAATTTTGATAGCTGAAAGCAATGCTGCATGATAAAATTAAGCACCTCCATTTTGCACTTTTCTCACAAAGGCATTTACAGAAATAACCAAAACTACTTCTGTAGTATAGATTGTTAGGATACCACTAACACATTGATTTACACTGCACCAGTTGACAAATCCACATGACTAAAGCTGTTGCTTTGTTTTCCAGTTTCCTTGCTGCATTGAAAGGGATCTTCTCAAAGAAGTAATGCTCCATTCAACATTGGCCTTGTCCCTCCTGCTAATTGCAGTGTCTTCCAACCTTGCAATGGCAATCAAGAAGGAAAAAAGAGCACCTCAGACACTGTCAAGAGGTACTGTATATTTAGCTTATGTAGTTATCTCCTCAACTTCCCATATAGTTCAGCAAACGTTTTTATTTAGAATATACCTGAAAGCACGTATATACTTACTGAGGTGTGTTTCTCCAGTGTTAAGTACACTCTAAGTAGTGCATCTTCTTATTCCATGTCGTTTCACTCCATCAGTTTGTTCTTAAGGATATGGCTGAGGGCCTCATATAACCTGCATAATTTATATAACTCTCAGTGACCTAGTAGAAACCAATAACCTAAACTGAGTCTCTCAAATCAGGATGCACTTGTAGGACTGTCAGTGAAAAAATATTCTTTCCTATATCAGTTAAAAGATATTTTGTTATGGTAATTTATTAACTACTGAAACACAGTTTCATAACTTCAGTTGCTATGGAACAATTTTTCTACAGACTCATTTTTATACACAGAACAACAGTTTGAGCTACTGGTCGGTTTTTCTGCATGAGTTTTTTTTGCTTTTGCTTTTCATCAGATAGTCACAGTCATGCTTTGCAGTGAATAATTCACTTCCTTGCAGTGCATAATTTTCCACCTGGATGTTAACTAAAGACTCTATTTTAAGTTATTTATGCCTGATCAATCCTAAGAAATACAAGCAGAGAAATAGCTTACTGAGGCCTTTTCCTCTTCTCCATCTTCCCTCTCCTTTCAGGCCTATTCACCTCAAAAAATCCCCAGCTCCCTCCCTGACCTCTTCTGCAAGCTGTGCAAAGCCTGCAGACCCCACAGCTCACCTCTGAGGTCTTCCCATACAAAGCACTGGCAAAGCCCCGCCTGTCACACAGGTCCCATTTGAGCCTAATTGCTCAGGGAGCGCTTGACAAAATCATGCAACACTTGGACTATCCAAAGAGAAATTGCAACTCACTTCTTGTAAGTGATTTCCCTGGAGAAAGGTTATAATCCATCTGGTATCTATTGCCTAGCTTGTCTGATCAGGATTTATTTTTCCCAGTAAGCCTAAATGCATAAAAAGATAAGAAAATCCCTTCAGTTCTGGCAATTTTGAAAAAAATAGTCACAGAAAGCATCAGTTTTCTAATTCTGATTTCAGGCCTTTTGGGATGCCTTGAGTGCTTTACCTGTAATTTTCACAGATCAAAGGGGAACACTTTAACCTGCTGCAAAATGACCCTAGCTGACTCCTCTCTGCGGTTACCTACGTCAGCAGTTGACTTCAGCCAGGGCTGGGAACACACTAGTCAACACGCCAGAATCCCACCATCAACCAGACAGCTCTGTAATTGAAATCACTCTCCTGAAAGAAGAGATGATCTAGTAGCGTCACAAGCAATTGTCTTGTGAGAAAGCTAACAGCAAGTCTCTGCATAACCAGGGCTGGTCCAAGCACTGTCCAGACAGCACAGAAGAAACAGAGCCTTAACCCGGTCCAGATCCAGAAGCTGTTCTACAATTCCCATGAGGGCCATCATGAATGGAGCAACACTGCCTGGGAGGCAGGAATCTGCTACACAGGGGCTGGCATTTTTGGGATCTGAAGGCATGAAAACAATGGGACAATTTGCTTTTTGAGATCAGTGTATCGCCAGCTATGGATGAGCTATGAAGTTGATGATTCATTAGGATTTTGGTTAGGTGGAGATTTTTGTTTAACAGCCACTCTTTTATTAAATTATAAGTACTTGCAATGCCAGGGATTGAAATTCATGGCTTGAGAGTTAAGTTTAAAACTCAAGTCTACTCTAACAACGTTTATATTAAAGTCGATCTTATTTGAACTGTCATATTTTATTTTTCTCTCTAACTTTATAAGCCAACTTTCTCTTTAAGCCTCAGGGTCTACATGAAATACGGAGCAGATAATATAAAGATATAAAGGATTTGGGTGCTGATTTAGGGACCTCTGAGTGTTCAGAAAGGGATCTAATAGGTCTGCTAGGGGACTTGAACTGGATACTCAACCAGCTGAGGCTTTTTTTGGTGTTTTGTTTTGATTTTTAATCTACCAGTGCACCTATCAGGAGATATAGAATTAGTATATCCACAACATTTGGGAAACTTTGACTGAAAAGAACCCCAAATCCTGTTTGTGTACAAGTACTGATAAATATAAAAAATGTAATTAGTTATGAGTTATTTACCTGTCCACCAGTTAATCCTTTTGTTATATTTCTAGGGTGGGGAGATGAAATTACCTGGGTACAAACTTATGAAGAAGGGCTTTATCAAGCAAAAAAAAGGTAAGAGATTAAAAGACAAAGTTGCTTATCATCAGACAGTCATGCCTGAGTATACTGTAATGTAACAGAACAAAGAAACACCATGACAGCTGATCTGCAGACCACCCAGTTAAATGAAACAGATTTAGTGTCTATAAATAAAAGTTGTTGCAGGGGTCTTATGATTCTGAAGCAACATCATGGGCCAATAGGCGAGTCTATGTTTAACACTGTTGTTTCTTTGTCACAACAGAAGTGCTGTAATTTGAATAAGCAATGATAAATAGCTATTATAATTTTAAAAATACAACTTTTTAAAAATATATGTATATATGTCATTATTCCTCTGATTACTTCCTTAATCAACAGCTGGAAATCAGTTACATTTGCTCTGGCATGGTGATCTACTGCCTCTGATACTTTCCCCAACACTTTATTAGTTGGCATATGTGCATGATGTACTCACAGTTTCTCACTGTCCTAGTAGAAAGTTCCAATCTGAATCTTCTCTGTGATTCAGCTGAAAATATATTTGACAATTCATAACAATACTCATTTAAGTCTCTATTACAGTTCATTTTAGATCATAATAGTGTAGCACAAGCTGTTGTTAAATCGAAGGCAAATTATTTTTAAAATAAAAGGCAATTAATTTCATGTACCCTATATGAAAATGGCTAGGAACTGAACAACTCTTGACAGTGACAGCAGATCAAGCATTAGTAACTGATGTACTGAACAGTAACAGTAGTGTAAAAAAATGCAGGAGAAAATGCACAGAATTGTTTTATGTTTTGACATCCAAGAATAAAAAATTTTGATACTTTACCAAACTATTTACAGAAAAAAAAAATTTACTGTTTATCTGTTCAAGAAAGCTTAAAACATGAAACTTTTCATGGGAAGTATTTGATGATAAACCCAATTTTATAAAAATTATTTTATTCCAGTTCATACAGATTATTTTTATTTTCTTAAACATGCAGAACATCACACCTAAGTGGTATTAAATACCTCTTCAGTTTGATTATATATTAACTGGGAATGAAATGATGATGGCTCTATTGTTTCTTTCTTCTGGAATTTCTTACTTTAGAAAACATATTTAGATATAGAAACTCTATTTCTCTATTTTTTTTTCTTTTATGAAGGAGTTATGAGTTTTTTCCCTTGCTCAGAAATGTCTGTAATTCTTTACAGAATGTCTGTATGGTTTTACTGTGGGTTAACATCAGATGAAATGTAATTTGCCTTTTCCAGTCTGCTAATAAAATCACCCATTTGCATACTTGTCAAATGATCTAACTACATGTTTTATTATTATTAATAAAGTAACAAGCCACTGATGGTAATTCATCATTTGGAAGACTGTCAATACTGCCAAGGTAATTTTGATATTTTTGAGTGTTAAAATTTTGTGAATATTTTTATAAGAAACTGCATCTATCTATATATTTACCTTGCATCTACTGAAAATTACTTAAAGAAATAGGTAAATGAAAATGTATTTGAAAAGCTATGAATTCATTACTGTTATTTACAAAAACTCCACTATGAAACTAGCCAGCAAAGAACATGAAAAATACTCAGTTCTGCTCTCCTGCTATCCCTAATGCAGCACTCATCAGTTTAAATTAAGAGATACAGATTTGCTACCGACTCATTGAACAGATTTAATATTGTTTGGCTCTCCTGAAGTGGTAACTAGAGAAGGAGATGAGGACAGGGCTGCTGAAATCGCTCTAATAAGAATTTTCTGAGAACAATGCACTTTTGTCAAGCTGAGACATGGTATCCATTGAGACAGACTTCATAAATAACAGAAGAGAGCTTCCATTTTCATAGCTGGGAAGTGGTACTGACATGGGTCAAAAAACCAAAAAGCAGCAATAGCGCCCTTAAGTGTCTCCTCAGGAATGTGAATCAGCAGAGACAGGAACAATGTGGGCAGTCTCCAGCCAACGTGGTGCCTAAATGCAGAAGGAAAGGCAGTATTTGAGATGGACTTCAAAATGATCGTGTCTTTTCTAGCACTGAAGAAAGCTTTTGCAGAAAATGAAGAGATACAGGAAATGGCCCAAAATAACTTCGTTATGCTGAATCTCATGGTATGAAGGGTTTGGGGAAGTTTGACTTGTATCTTTTTTTTGGCTTGTGTTTTCTCTTTCTTTGTCTTGCTTTTTCATGTCATTGTAGCTAAATATCTCTGGCATTTCAGTAACATGTAAGTACAGGCATTTGTGCATGTGTATAAACACACAAGTAGTACCTTTTTTGGTTTTGTTCTCTGCTACAAGACTACTCACAGGTGGTACTACTTCATCAAAATTTACAGAAATATTTTAATAATTAGCTTTAATTTCTCTACCAGCATGAAACCGCAGATAAAAACCTGTCACCTGATGGACAATATGTGCCTCGAATCATGTTTGTAGGTATGTACAATATTTATGTATCATCTTCAAAGATGTGACATCTAAATCTATGCCAGTGTCCTCCTTTGGGAACATCAAAATGATTCATTTTGCAAAAAGAAAATAGCTCAACATTTATCATTACCACGGTATTAGTCTGGAAATTGGCACATCTGAGTTCAGTTCTCCCTCTGTTGCAGGCTTTGATCCTCATAAACTTCCTCAGGTTACAGATATGTTCTGGAGGGTACCTAATTTTTGTTTGGGAGCAAGACGTTTAAATGTCTGTTAGCATCTGGGCTTTTGCTCTCCATGCTTCTTGCTTATAAGACAAAGTTTACTGAAAATAGTCAAATATCTGACCGAATGTAGATGTCTACAGTGTGGACATTACCACAGAGCCAGTCAATACTCAGTGGCATCTAAGGAATGATTTATCCCATTATAAAGCTGACTTTTGCTATAGAGCAAATGAATCATGCCCCAGAGTGCCTGTACAGGGAGCCTAGAGTGACTATCTCTGTGGTGGCATCCAAAGTTAGGTGAGATGAAGCCCACACTCAGACAGAGAGCAATGCAGTAATGGGAGGAGATGTCCACAACAACTTGCTCCTATGATGGAAACATTAAGGATCACAAGATTTTCATTCTGAAGGCTCTAGGTAGGTCATGCTAATATCGCATTATGTACACATGACCCTCACTATGTGTGCATCCAGTCAAACTGGCCTCCCCTGATGTAACCCCAGAACTTGTAAAACAGGATATTTTTCTTTAAATATGGATGAAATACATGTGTAATCTATCACTTAAAAATAGCTGCATAATATAAAAATGAGCATTAGCTTTTGTTCAGGATTTCTTCAAGAGCAGCTGGTTGGAACAGAGCGTAAAGGCCTCGTAATTGCCTCGTTGATGAAATCAGAACACCTCAGAAACAGGGCTGTCAAAGTAGCACCCTCAGCTGTTGTGGGAATGGAAAGCAGTGTTTAATACAATTACTTTTTCAGACCCATCTCTCACAGTAAGAGCTGATATCACAGGAAGATACTCCAACCGGCTTTACACTTACGAACCACAAGACATACCATTCTGTAAGTGCCCCCTTCATTGTGTTATTTTGCATTTCAGATTGTAAGCAGCCAGATACACCCCATCCCAATCATTTGTGCTTGAGAACCCATTAAGATCTCAAAGTAATGAATAAGGACTGTGTGTGAGCATTTGCAATAAACTATAATAGTCTAACCTGTTCTAGCAAAATACTTAAGCACACCTATTGTCCCACTGAATTTATTGGGACTACTCAGGTAAGACAAGTTGAAAGATCACGGGTGAGAACTTTCAGGATCAAGATCTGAGCAGTTTGTTGGAGAATGGTGAAAGTCACTAAGCTCAAAGGTATCCAACTGTGCAACGTAAACAGCCAGTGGTGGGCGGGAATCAGAAAAGAAATGCTGGTGGTTACCGGGGTACCACCTAACACCCATATTTCAGAAAGGAATGTGATTTTTCAGGTTGAGCTAGTCCTTTCTCTATACAATCTATCTAACACCAATGCAGTATCTCACCACAAATATGTACTTCACATCTGATTACCAGGCTTGCTGTTGAGAACTGAGGGAGTTGAAAGGAGCCTTGTCAAATCCCTTTAAGTTAAACACTTTGATTCATGAAAATTTTTACCTTCTGCTTTAGTATCAATGTGAGAATTTTCACAATAGAAAGCTCTAAAATATAATGTGTGACCATAAATTAATTTTAATGTGAACAATTTACTAATCAAACTAGGTGGGTTTTTTAATTGTACAAATGCACTTTTAGTGCTTTTTTACAGTTCTTATTTATTTTTCTTTCAGTAATAGAGAACATGAAGAAAGCACTACGCCTCATTCAGACAGAACTGTAACCAGCAACAGTGAAATGACCATAGCCTCTACGAGGTGAAGCTGCACTAGAAACCTAACATTTTAAAGTATTTTAGTTAACCTTCTGTCTCTACTATCATTTTGAACTCTTACCAAGCAGCTTTGATATATCAGAGTTCATAAGAAATTTATATGTACTATTTGAAAAACAAACATAGAAAGACTATTGCATCCATTTGAAAAACAAGAGGAGAAATCTATTAAACACTTCTTTGAAATTAGTTATCTGAATAACTGAAAGTGAAGGTTTAAGGTGCAGCAAATTTGAGCTATGTTTTATCGATCCAGCTATGATTTCGTTAAGTCAGCTATGACTTCTGACCAGGAGTTATAACTCATCTTTTTGCTGTCTATTTGCAATTTGTTATATAAGTTAATAGCTGCATCTCAGCTCCTGATTTTTATTTTTATTGCAAGAAGCTTGTAAGTCACTAGTGTAACTCTGCTTTATGCACTTATTTCTCGTTAAAGGAAAAGAAACTTTGCTGGCAAATCAGACAGGAAGGCTTTTCCTGTAGATTTTGGAATAGCTTATATAGAAAAAAATCAGTGATCCGGGCTTAGCTTTCTTCTGTATAATTCTTTAACTATCGTTCTGATTGATAGCTGAAAACAGAACAGAACAGACATTCCACACCGAGCATGTGGTCTCAGTGAAGTGATAATCATCAAATAGCAACTACAGGTTTTTGCTATGATAAAGATACAATGAAGCAAGAGAGATGGAAAGGGATAGTCCCAGAACTCCACACCTGAGGCTAAGTGATGCTTGTAAAGTCTGGTATGGGAAAAATGAGCAGGCTTGTCCTAGCTTTTTTCATTTAAATGGCACTTGAGTCATGTGAAGCTCATCCCAGGTCATTCCCTTTTTTTCTGTAGCATCCCACCATCCTATCATGGTGGCAGCTTAGTGAGGGGATCTGTACATACAAAGTCTTCACAAAATTTCCCCAAGATCACCGTATGCAAAGGCTGATGCCTGTTTTGAGTAAAAAGCTGAAGTCAGTTGCAATAGTTCATTATCCCAGCAATATGCTTTTTCATTAGAACAAGACAGTAAGCAATTCATCTGCAGTAAAAGCACGTATGTTATGTTAGGTGCAAAGCACCTGCCATTTCCTATGATGCTGCCTAAATACACATATGAAAGATGAAGGAAGGATCTTTGCAGGACAGCTTTGCTAATTTACTATACCTAGTATTAATTTGTCATGAATGAGTTATATTGTGCTTATCTATTTCTCCATAACTACGTAAAATTTGGATATAAGAGTATATTCCAACAGAGTGGTGATAAATGACCTGTACACTAAGGGAAAAAAAAAATATCTTGCATTAGTCATTAACAGTATATTGTCTTCATAATTAGTTAAATGATTTTTTAACCTATGGGAAAATGCTAGAAACAAAATTAAACCGGTAATCACATTCCTTTGAGATGTGTTTAGCTCTACTCATTTATGTCCATATCTATTCCAGATTTGGCAACATTTCCCAGTCTGTGGGCATACCCCTTTTTGAGCATGCCAGAGATGTTCAGGAGAAAGCGATGTGAACTAGCTGCCAGAGATGACACAGGATAGCCATGGCAGCACTCTCAAAGTAGGGTCGAGAGAAGCACAGCACAAAATAGGAAATGCTTAAATATGGTAGACTAAAAATGTTACCAAAAGATTAGGTGGAAAGGGGTGGATCTGTGCTGTCATATTGCAGGGGAATGTTTTTCCCTCCTTACATTCACTTTCAACATCAGCCGAGATCACAGGAGACATTGGCTTGAAACAACCTCTGCTCTAACTCAGGCAGGAAATCAAATGCGGGATAGTTACACTATTAGCCAAAGTCTGCTTCACCTACTTAAGATTCAGAAGACTAAGGTTTCAGGCTCTGGGTGGATATTTGAGGGAAGGCTGCACTTGTGGAAGTATTTGCATGGCTATGCTTTCATTCCAGTGTGAAACAAAACCTTTCCATTTCAGATCTGGAGAGCAGCTGCAAAACAAACCTGTTCCCCTCCCTTTAACTCTAGTAATTACATCTTTGTCCATGATATTCTTGTTTCCTTGCCTACTACTACTACTGTTACAGGAATTGCAAAGATGACAGTGTCTGCCATAAAAGACTCCTTTCATGGATTACCCTAGTCAGTCCAGATATTCCATCAGTCTTTCAGTGAAAGAATGGCATCCTCACACATACAAATGCTGAAGAGCATAAATATGCTAAGGGATCCTCTGGGATTATACTGTGGATAAGGACTTTAATTCTTCTTTCCTGTTAAGTAGGTACATGCACATATATACAGCCCAAACCCAGGGATGATGTCCTTTTTGTGCTAATGGCTGTCACTCTTCACACTGAAACGTTAATACATTTCTATACTAAAGGAAGGGAAGCCACAAACACAGTCCAATGTCACATCAATGTAACTCTGCAAGAGAATGCTCAGGGGGGATCTTATTAATGTATATAAATACCTGGAGAGTGAAAAGGGGATGGAGCCAGGCTGTTTTCATTGGTGCCCAGTGACAGGACGAGAGGCAGTGGGCACAAACTGAAATGCAAGAGGTTCCATCTGAACATCATGAAACACTTTTTTACTGTGAGAGTGACCAAGAGCTGGCACAGGTTGCCCAGGGCGGTGATGGAGTCTTCATCTTTGGAGATATTCAAAAGCCATTTGGACACAGTCCTGGGGAACTGGCTCTAGGTGGGCATGCTTGAGCAGGGGGTTGGCCCAGGTGGCCTCCTGAGGTGCCTTCCATCCTCAACCATTCTGTGAAGTAAGCAGTCCCAACTCAGTGGGATTATTTAGCTGGATTTATAACTTAACTGCTTTTAGAGAATTATCAGCTAAAAATATAAGTCACTACTTTCAGTGAATAGAAAACAAGACCTGCTTGTTTAACTGACTGGAACAAAATTGCAAAAGCAATATAATTCACAGCAGCAGGGTCTTACTTTACAGTTTAAACTGGCAGGGTTATAGAGATGAGGGGTGGCCCTCACAGCAAGTGAATAGCTAACGTGCAAGAGCTATTCCTAGATACAAGGACACACTGTACTTGCTCTGAGATAAGGTTACCAAACTCAACCCACATCTCATGCCTGTGGTTGCCCTCAGGGAATTTACTGTCCTGAAAAATCCTGAGTCTTTGCTCTGCTTTCTCTGAAGATGACGCATATTGGCTACCCCACTCAGTCAAAATCAAGTTTATTCATTCTTCACTGCTGATAGCAATTGCTAATAAGATACAGACTTGTATATATTTACTTTCACTGGTGCAGTTTTATATTAAAATGGATAGTATCATCATGCTTCCATCTTAGCATCTATGATGCAGCAGGTAGGGTATCAACTTAAAAGACTAGATACTCAAATCAAGTACATCTTGGCCTTACAGAAACACTGAACTCCTGTATATATCCTATGCTCTACTCAACTACGAGCAGATAGATGTCAACTTGCTTGATCTGAAAGTTGTATGCTGACTATTATTTTACACAAACATTCTCATGCTTAGGGATTACGTTTGGGTCACTTCTTTTAGTGGATCCATTCATAAGCAAAAAGATGGCTGTCAAGAACCCACAAAGCTGGAATCCCAGGTCTGTGATTCAGGACCACAGCCCAGAACTTGCCTGGGCTCAGGAATGATAAACCCCATAGTCTGACTGACAGTGCTGTAACAGAAAATAAATGCTAGAATTATCACTTATTGGGATTGTGGAAGAAACAAGTAATGCAAGCCGTGGGCCAGAAGTCTACTGTTGTTCTCCTTATTTTGGGCATTTGATATTAAGCCAGCAGACACAAAATAAACTATGTGAATTAAATATAATACTATATTATAAATAACAAAATTTTCAGAACAATACAATCATCACTGACTCATTCTTGAACAAAAGCTAGGCTTTATATTTTATACTGCAATGCATGTTATTTTCACATTTGAAGAAAATCTGGATTAATTTCTGAAGGTATTGTTGATAATGGTTGCATCTGTAATTTAGAACAGTACTTTCCACTGCAGAAGTTTTTGACAGCTTTGACAAACCACTCATCCAAGCAGACAGCAGCCACTTTCCAGAAATGTCACAGGCACAAGAATTTCTCTGTGTCCAATGAAATCTACTTTGCAAAGTGACTAAAGGGGATTTCACCTTTTCTTTTCCTTCTCAAATCCCCATAGGTACCAGGCTGAAATCTGTTCTTAGCCATAGCCTTGAGAAACAGGACTAAATCTTTGTGATTCTTAAAGATTCAGATCCAGTCCTTTTGGTGGAGCTAGATATTCAGGTAGAAACCACCCTGTATGTTGCACACATATTTTTCCATTCATAGCTTAGTTCCACGTTCATCCTTAATTTTACAACTGCTACTATCTTTCTGCCTTCTCCTCTGTGAAGATTATTTTGCCAGGTAATATCTCTCCTGATGGAACAGAATCTCAGATCTCAGATTGAAGTCTCATTGCTCAGGATAAGATATGTCCGTAGTCTCTGCAATGGCAGACAAAACATGATTCTTCCCCCTTCTTTGCTCTGAAATGAATGTAATGAGACACTACTCCCTCTTTTCTTCCCTTCTTGTCTGCTTGCATGCCACACAGCTTTATTCATGATATTAGTGGGCAGATTTTTATTCACACTCTTTACTTCCCTCTCTTAAGAGAGGGAAACTGTTCCTCTTGTTGCTTGGTTAACTTGAATGAAACCAACCAGGTTTATTTGACCTCTGCTATTTGGGTTAGAGCTGAAGGAAGAGAATAAAAGGCTGAAATGTGAATGCAAGAGCAGCATTTGTTTCACAGAGAATAAATTCAGTCACAATATAAGGGCCAATAGCTGAGAAAGCCTACCTGTGTAGACTGCGAGCTTATAACTGTGCTTATGTATGCTTAACTGTAGACTGTGCTTATAACCTTATAACCTCTATGTGCTTCATAACCTGTATACTACATGTATGGATGCTAATATT